TTTATTAAGTTAAATTTGAATAATTACAAGGAGGCCCTTAGTTGGGCAAGAAATTACAAAGAACATAACATAGAAAGGATGGGCCCAGAATAAGGCCCATTACAGAAAGGAACATAAACAGTAAGAAAGGATAAACAGCCTATGGGCCATTCGGCCCATCTTCTCTACAGTAATTGACCTTGAGTCCTTCATACAGCCTCTCACTATAGTGACAGCTCAATCCTTGGGTGTATCTCTTATTTGTTTCCATTCAATATAATACTATCTCTCTCCATAAAAAATATACCTCTTAGATCCTGCCCAGGTAGTGTGATCTTGAACTCATTAGAATAAATTGACTAAGGTTTCTATCTGTACCATAATAACATGCTTTCACATATAAAATTGAGGCCACAAACTTGGTATGTTTCAATTTTGGATAAGATTCAAAATGTAATTATATAGCCCATGGATTCAACAATGGGATACTTTGCTCTCACATCAGATATGATGCATAAGTACCCATTGATTAGTTTGCCACCTAATGGCAAAGGATGCTAAACCTTAGTTGCTCCTATAAAATGAGTAGGCAGGTGCCTGTACACATCTGGCAGATATTCTATTCTGAAGGTTCATAACCAGCTTTATCGCCAACTTATGAGTTCTTAAGTCATGGTTACGATAACCTAATGGATATTCCCATTTGAACAGTTAATGCAGAAGTTCAGGTTTCTTTTCTGAATTCATTGTGAAGTTTGTTTTCTCTTGAGGTGGAGCTAAATTTGTTGTCTGTGCTATACATGCACATAATATATATTTCCTTGTAATGTACCTGACCAAAATGGTTTCTATCTGCTTCTTCAGGTCAAGATAAAGTGCTTGTGTGAGTTAGGACGTGTCATTGGTTGCAAGCTTACTCTGTTTAAATTTGAGTCCAGATGAAAGCAGGTCATATGTGTTTTTCAGTTTTACAACACCCTATGTACAGAGTCTCATCTTTATTGAAGGGAAGTCCTTTCCTTCAACCAAGGATCTTGGCCCGTTTTTGGTCAGAGAAGTACCAAACTTACACACTTGAAAACAGTTGTTTTTATGTGCATGGATCTAGCACCCGTGAACCTTCTGCAAAGGAACAATATAGGGGAAGATGGAAGCAACGACATATAAAAGTAGGAAGTGAAAACACCCAGAGCAGTAAACCATATGAAATCAGGCACAAAGTGTTGGACAGAAAAGTTACTGCAACAACTAAGTTAAAAATAAATAAGCCAAAGCTGATAGAATTTGAAAGAGTTCAATACTGTGACATTCAAGAGAAGATTGTGGATAGCAAAGTACTAGAGCAACTTGTCACATTTTTTGTTTTTGATATTGAAACCACTGGATTGAGCAGAGAGAATGAACGAATCATTGAGATTGCAATTCAGGATCTCCTGGGAGGTGAGAACAGTACATTCCAAACTGTAGTCAACCCAGAACGTGTTATCCTCAATTCCCATGTCCATGGCATCACAACAAGTATGGTTAACAGACCTGATGTTCCAAGGTATAGTATTTCATAATACTGCATTTTCATGCTTCTGTCATTGACTGATTACCAAGTATATCAAGTAATAATCATGTTGTTGTTGTAATTTGTAGGATAGACACATAATCTATTTATGTAGCAAGCCTAGTATTTTATTGGCTATTCCCTGCAAATTTTTGTTAGTGTTGTTATCAAACCTATTATCTATTGTTAAACTGGTTGGACTTACAGCTTGAAACAGGTCACGCAACCCTTCTCTTGTTGGAAATTAAACTTTATTAGGAGAAGAAAGAAATAAATATACAATTGACAGCTTTTTACATGAGAGACCAGGCCACAATCACCTGATACCACCTCAACATCTTTGCACTAATAAGGCAAATTAAAAATAGAAGGCAGAAAAGCATGCACTATCTCAAAAATTAAAATACAAAAGGAGCCACTCGGGGAGGAGTGAACCCCAATACAGGTTATATCTCTCCACCCCTACCCTAGCCACATTGCCACATTATCTTCCAGTGAATAAGCTGAACTTTGGACCCATCTGAACATGATGTTCATTCAAGCTCCCAAAGATATAGCACTTTGATACTTTTTTATGATAAATTATACCACTTTGATGCATTGTTGAAGCAGCTATTCTCATCCTCTCTCATCTATCAAATAATAATTAGAGAACCATAATTTATCCAAAAAAAAATAGAGAACCATACTCCACCCCCATGAGAGAAAGCCTAAAGAAAGTAGCTGCATTTCCATTCAAATAGATTCATTACACTTTTCAAGCATCTTATTTTGTGGATTTCAAAGGAAAATAAGAAGTCTTTTCAGATAATCTAATAAATTCTAGCAATCATTTGTTGTAAATAACCTTAATTGAAGGAACCCTACCAAACTTTGGTGGGTCCAATCTAAGATATATCATGTGGTAACCGGTTATCTGATACTGATAGAATGTCATTGCTATCTGATCGTACAAAATTCTTTTGGACATAATAAATTTTCAGACCATATTAGGTAACAAAATAATGGGGAGCTTATGGTCATATTGGCAGATCTTCCCTTTTGGATCTTACTTCTTGTAATGAAATGAAAATTCAAGTGCGCAATGATATGATTTTTCTTTTCTTTGAGTAATGCCTGTGGTTTCTCAACTGGATATGGACTATGGACCCATTAGGAATTATCTATTTTACTCTATTTGGTTTTATACTACATTAGAATTTATACATAGCTCCCTCTGGAATCCTTCAAAATTCATTTGGGTGCACTGGCTAGAATGGTGTCCACCACAGTGGCAAAGCCTTTTTCTTAGCAATTTGGTTGAGCCATGGAATAATTAATGGAGGTAATCTGGAGATAAAATCAGTCTTACTACAAATTTTGCTAAATCTTTCTTGTACCAAGTCAACAAGGCTTTCAGTATTTTATAGGTTAAATAATTTGCTATCTTCTGCAAAAAATGCAGTCCATTGAGTATTTGAAAAGATATTTGTGATGTTAAAGGTGTTATTTGCAAGAAAATTTCTCCAACATAATGGATCTGAATAACCTAGAGGTCCATTGATATTCTTACACAATTGAATCTTCATCATCTAAACCTTGTCCAAATTATATAGAATTAGTTAAATGAATCCTGTTCCATCAGTACCATATCCATTGTTAAATTGTGGGGCCTTAAATCATTTCCAACTACTTCAGACAATGTCCTTTTTGGCCTGACCCTAGCTTTTCTAGCCCCTTGAGCTTGTAATAGACCACTTACTGGTGGTATTTGGTCTAGATGGTCTTCTCCATACGTTCCCAAACCATCTTAGTCTACTTTTCCTCATTTTTTACCAATTGGAGCTATTCACATTTCCACCACTCACTTTTGGGACATGTTTCTCTGATTGCTAATCTCAAGGCCTGTATAATTGAATACCAGTGATAATTTGTTTTAGTGGAACAAATGCAGTGTATTTGTAATGGATGCAGATCCATTTACTGTGAAAAAGAATGTGTGCAAATACGCTAGTCAGATCTTTAGATGACTGCTTGTGGTTGTACACGTTTTTTTAATCATCTTAATCAATAAAAGCTTCAAGTTATCAATCAAAAAGGTGTAAATACATCTTATTTGTTTATTTTTCTGGTGGAGGGTGTTATGGTAAACAGGTTAGCGCTTAATTGTTAGTGGTGAGGTCAGGTTTTGGATCCAGGTCTCTGCATTATGAACCTACTCTGACTTTACCAACTTAGCAGTTAGCAAAGCCAATATCTTCACAAGATATCATTCTGAAAAGGGGACATTTTCTCTCTTATCTAAGTTTAATTTTACATCATAAGCATCGTAGCATCACTGAATGGAATTATTATGCTAGTTTTATCTGGTAAAATGTAGTGCATGTGCGGATGATCCATACTGCTAGCCTTACATGCGAGAACTTGTGTAGGATGCGGGATTTGATTCCAATCTTAAGGCAATATGTCAGAAGCCGCCAAAAACCTGGGGGTCTCGTTGTCTGGGCTGCACACAATGCACGCTGTTTTGATGTACCTTTTCTGATCAAGGAATTTAGCCGCTGCTCCATAGAGATCCCTCCAGATTGGGTATTTCTAGATACACTTCCTCTTGCTCGTCAGTTGATGAAGCCAGATGGTTAGCCTCTCTCTCTCTCTCTCTCTCTCTCTCTCTCGCTCATAATTCAATGAGATTCAGGATTACATGTGGGATATACACTGAAAGTTTAGTCGGTTCCACCTAGGATTGGAGATGTAGACCTGAAATAAGGATTCTTACTAAATGCTTATTAAGTTTGTTATTTTGATCTTGTTAACAGGATCAAAACTTGATTCAACATCGCAGCAATCACTTCGTGAGTACTATGGTATCCCATTAGTGGGTTCAGCTCATAGAGCCATGTCTGATGTCAACACATTATCGCAAATACTACAGAAGATGACTTTTGACCTGAAGATGCCAGTACCCAGCCTTCTTGAAAGATGTTTCAAGCCTTCTGACTTGATAAACTCGAAGAAAAAGAAGAATGTTAGCTAGCATAATCCATTCTCATGTGTTTGCTCCTCCTCTACACGGGGAGGAATATGTACCCCTTTTGGTCGCTCCTCTGAGTATTTATTGTTATTTGTAACTTCCATTCTTTCAAAAGTCATTAACTTATAGAGAAAAAATACGATCTTGCTTTGTGTTGTTGCTTGAATTCCTGGGGCTTGGGACCTACCAAGACAGGAAGTTTGTGTTCAAATACCTGGTCACTGACGCCTGACGGTATGTTATATACGTCTGTATGTTTGTGTTTGACAGTGCCAGGACCAAGTCATTGACTGTGACACGGTTTTTGTTTAGGGGTTTTTTGTACTCCTGACTTGGGAACCGCTTACTGTGCCAGATAATAAAGGCCAGATAACCACCACATTGACCGATTTGACAATAATTTGAAATTATTTGCTCCAGTTAAACGGGTCGTTGTACACAGTTTGTTCCATTCCAATGTCACACATCCTGTACATTATCGACTTTCGGAACCCAATTGAGGCGGATTTGTGAGGCTGCCAATGTGAATTATGACTAAACGATAATATAGATGGATGAAACTGGACTGTCTGCTTAAATCAGAATCTCTTCAGAAGTTCACATGGCAGTCTACCGTAAGTTAGAACCTCTTCGGAAGATCTGAAGTTCAATTTCCGATTGTTCAGATATCAAGAAAGTGCACCAGCCATTTTAATGTCCTATCCTATGATGTACAAGTAACATTTTCATCCTACAAACTAGGGGTGAATATGGGTGGTTCAGTTTGGTTCCATGGCAGAACTTGGAACCTACTTTGTAGGGGTTAGTTTCAGGTTTCTGGAACCAGAATCTCCCCTGGGAAGGTAGGTTCTGAGGGTCGATTTCAGGGTTTACCAGTGGAATCTGTTCTTTATTCTCTCCCTTAAAAAAAATGAAATATGTTTTTTAAAAACTTGATTTTCAATAACTATAATATATAGTTTAAAACTTATATTATCATGTTTATTAAATTGAGTAATTTAATATGTAGATTATCATAATATATTAATATATAGTTTAAAATTTATCATTATAATTTAAATTTTATAAATATTAACTTTTACATTACTTATTATACACATTCAAATATTAAAATGAAAACTAATGACCAAATCACTTAATGGTCAAGTGAATCGTGACCTTTGTAACAATGAGTATTTTACGTTGGTTCCATCAAGGCTGGTTCGACGGATTGGTTCAAGTAAAATAAACCCCTAGACATTGGAACCATCAAGGCTGGATAGAATCGGTCCAACCCCAATTCAAGATGGATTTCATTCAATTTCAAGTAAAACCAACCCATTTACTCACCATACTTTTTTTTTAATTCATCGAACCAGATTTTTGGATAATAGTGAAATTGAGTCGATGGAAATGTTCTATATAATCCATTTCGAGCCATTAATAATAATGATGATGCATGTGTCCCAAAAGATATTTTGAAACGCAGAAGTTTCTCTTTAATTAAATGGAGTAATGAATTTGGTAGAAGCTTTACCATCATTAAAATTCATAGAACTGCGTATTTTTCCTATTTTCCTAGGAGTTTCTTGTGTCCGTTCATGGTTCTCTTTAATTAAACGGAGTAATGAATTCTATGGCACTACCCCGGCGGCCGGGCGCGTCATTGTAAAAGATTTAAAAACTTTTGCTTTCGTTGAGAGTCGAACTCAAGACCTCGCGCTTACTAAACGGGTGCTCTAACCAACTGAACTACGAAAGCCACGTGTCAAAGGATTTGATTATTATTATGTCAATTGGTATATCAAATTTCTAAAACCAAGTATCAGTATCGTCTAACCATACTTGGGGCGGAGATGAAAAAATGAAAGAGGAGAAGCAAGTGTAGCTGTAAAGAAGCATACAACCAATGAGACACTGACACGAGGTAAATCGGAAGTGCTATTGGGTTCTGATTATTTATAACTATTCTATCATCCTAAATTATTTCCACAAATGATTATGCATCTGTAGGACCGTTGTAGAATTTGTTCTTATGTTTTATTTTCTTCCGTTCGTTCTTCACACTGAATGACCGTTGAATTCTCAACCACTTTCAAAACGAAAAGGATTCTAGTGCCACTGGCACTTAATACCAATAGGATTGAAATTGGGGGCTATGCACTGGATTGCCAATGACCAGAGTTGCTTGGTGGGACACATTTTTGGCATTAAAATTTTCTAGGTATCACGTATTAGGTATGGTATGGACCAGCAACTTAGCAAGAACGCAAAATTTCAACTATCCCATTGCCATAGAACCTTGAATGACAGAATTAAAAGGAAAGAGGGACATACGGCTACAAAGAGACGCATTTCACAAAATATATCTATATATACTGCTGTTCCTTGGTCGATACTCCATACACTGGGTTTCGATGTGGGGTGCACTCGTTTTATTAAAAGAATTGGCATGAAAGAATTAATACAAACATAAAGAATCTCATCTTCCTGGCATATGAGAGCTGGGTAAGTAAATCTCCAAAACCCTAGGAAATTTAAATCGAAAAAGCCCATCCCTTGATTTAATTAACAACCTAACTAATGGGGCATATAAAATGCACGCTTCACACATTGTTCCCACGGCTGTCATCTCCTTCACAACTCTCTCGCACTCCAACATATCAAGTCTCGCAACATTTATGCATCTGTGTAAAGTTGCAGGCGATGATGCCAAGAAAAATATTCGATTCAAGAGTAGCATATCCACTGATCACAAAAATATCTCCTTGAGAATCAAGAGGACAAGCATGATGAAGCACATAATTACAAGCACCGTGGCACACATCACCATTCCTCCTTTTCTCTGTGTTCTCTCTGCCTGCAAATACAGGGCACATAGCACTGTTGTAATGCTGTAACCAGCAGTAAATACATAATAACTAGACTGATTGACAACAAATAAGCACCTTCTGAAGTTGTTTATACCCCTCTTCAACTGTAGCTGCAACATTCTGAATGTTATAGTCTATCCGGTCAACAATGGTACCCTGCTTAGAGAAATAATTTGGATTAGCCACCCCATGGGAAAGTTTATTGACTTGATAAAGAGAGACGGAGCATCTAACCTGGTCTATCACAAGGACTGAGAGATCCTTCATAATTTGAGCAAGCTCATTCACTGATTCCACAACCTGTGAATAAACTTTAGTTAACTAAAAGAATAGCACAAAATTTCACAGACCAACCAGGCCAGAGCTAGTGCAGTGTTTCCTTCTACCTGTCTGATCTCTCTCTCCCTTTCCAGTGTGAATGCCTCTCTCTTTTTTAGCTTGGCCATTTGGTAATCATTAAAACCCTGAATAGAAAAAGCATCCACTTAGATCTTTGAATAACTAACCTTTCTCACACAAAGAATTCTTATTCACACTGCTATTGTTATAGGCTAAAATCTTGTGAACTACGGGTATTACTAGAGAATTACAAAGAGAAAGAGAGTACCATATCAATAAAGTCATCATCCTCTACTTTAGACTTATCATTCAAATTCATCTCCAAATCAACCCCATTTTGACCCTACACCAGAAAGGTAAATAATAATTATTAATTATTAATAGTTCATAAAATCTCATAGACACAGAAAATCCAGAAAGTGTGCAACATCTCAAATAAACAGCAAATGTCTGGTTGCTGGTAAAATTAAGACATGTGATAAAGCCCATCCATGCTTTTCATAAACAAAAGCAAGCTAGTCAAGCGCAAAGAGAATGAAGTGGAATTCTGAAGAAAACCATGAGGCGAACTGTGTGATATATATTTCAGCAAATGCCTAATTAGTAGTTCATAATTAATAGGTACCAAAAGAAGTTTTAACCAATCAGAACCCCATATGAATTTGGATGAACACTGGTTGATACTAGTTGATTGGTTACCGAACTGTTAGATACCATACTTTTTTGTATCATAGCAGGACTATATATTTTAAGAACATAATGCAGAATATCAGTCCTCTAACCTGAAATGTTTTCATTTTCCTTTTTTTGTTTTTTTTTCGATCAATAAGTTTTCATTTTCCTTCTTTACTTGAGAACTTCTATATTCAGAGTTGTATAGTTGAAGCATGATGGACCCCATAACCTACAGATGCCAGGACCAAAACCTAGATCTGATTAAAGAAAAAGCTCATTCAAACCAATCCATTTGCACAACCCAGATTTCAGAGTTCAAAAAGACAAAAAGTACATATGGGTTAGTACCACAGACTTGGGTTAACCTGTCTATAGCTCCAAACTAACCACTGACCTGTTTGCCTGTCAAAAAGAAAATTATTTCTTAATATAAAATAAGAGACCCAACCTCACCTCTTTTTGCTGCCGAAGGTGTTTCAAATAAGCTGATTGTTTCTTCCGAAGCTCCACTGAGAGGTTCTGGAGGTCAGTTGCAAGAAAACGCTGTAGGAAAAACATTAACTTGTGATCACTATCCACCAGAGAAAACCAGATAAAAAACAAGTTAACTCCAAAAGGATGCTATTTCTTTCTTTAATGAATTTAATTTATTTACCCAGGAGAAATCACAAATGTTAGTTAAGTTAAACAAACAGAGTATATAATTAAAAAACATAGAGTAAATAATTAAAAAAAAGGACAACATCATGGAAAAGGTACTAAAAAACTCTTCAAGGAACAATTCCTTCTTGATATGTTTTCCATTTTTTTATCAGAATGGTAACATGTTTTCCATTTATTAGCAAATTTCTGACCAAGTAATGATCCCAATAAAAGGAACAATCCATTACAGTAATCACAGAAAAACATGAAAGTGCTAGATCAAAAATTCCCAGCACAAAATGCAATGACCATCACTCTAATAGTATACCTGTACATTTTTTCTAACATTTGAATCCTCAGAAGGACCACTTGCAGAAAGTTTAAGCAATCTCTTCTCAGACCGCTTCAATAAATCTGTTATCTCTTGTGTAAGAACTTCAATCATTTGTTGATCTTCTTTTCCATCTCCAAAGGATGGCATTAAAGCTTTTGCATGGGCCTTGAATAACTCGGCCATTTTTGTCCTTGCACATTGCATATTTGCAGTTATTTCTTCAGAAACATCCACCCAAGCTGGAGGTAGACCAATTGTAAGTGCATCCCTACTGCAGTAAGTAAAGAAAACTTGGTTTTTAGGGTTGTAGCATGATGAATACTGACAAAAAACATTCATAAAAATGAATAGAGATATGAAAAAATTATGAATTATGAATTAAAAGATCCTTCAGCCCCATATATTGTGCACTTATTGAATCTTTTGTGCATGGTAAGCATTTAATTAAATCCTTCTAAGCAAGATAAAGGCAAGAAAGAGGACCCCTCTTTCCGTAGTCTAAAGCTTACTGCCAGAAGTGGGCTGTGGTGTTGGAACATGTTTAGCCCTTATGTTCCTACCATCTCATCTGCATCCTGTATTATGAACACAACATTCTTGGATCTAAATAGGGAGGGCTAAAATGGTATTCATTCATACAATCCGAATTCAAATCCGAACCAATTAAAGGAGATATGAATTCAATCTATTTATAATTGGATTGAATATGGATTCACCCCAACACAACCTGACCCAATAAGATTTATATATACCTACATAAAATTAATATGTATCTCTCAGTAAAGTTGGTCTGAATTTTTTTATCAAAAAGGTAACTTGGGTTAAAACAAGAAAAAAGAAATCAGGTATTTACAGTATGCCAAGCACTCCAAACAAAGAGATGAAGACCCAATATAGTAACATTTTTTAGATTAGTAACAAAACATTTTATTATATTAAAAGAGGATAATTTAATAGATACAATTACCAGCTCCATAGAGCTGGCCCCATCCTCAATTGCTCCCTTTTAACCAAACCATTTGCAGATCTTCTAGCTCATCTAAAGCTGACCCCAACCTCCCTTGCTAACCATCAAACTTCCCCCATAGCTTGTCTGTGACAAAGTTAGTCTGAATGTTGTATGTTTACTAAAGAGATATACATTACTTCATAGTTCATAGAAGTTTGCCACTTTGGTCCCCGAACTTTAAAATGCGACAATTCAGTACCTGAACTTTCAAAACTTGTCAATCCAATACCTGCCATTAATCAACCTGTTAACCAGCCATTAAGTGGCATTTGAAAAGACACAAATGCCCTTGGAATGTCATCTAATTCTATTTACCAACCATCCAAACATTGACAAAAACTGAACAGTCCCAAATCTTTGCCTCTTCTATTCAAGAAAGTTGACGTCTCAGTGGGCATTCTAGTGACCCCAACTTTCCTGAATTGAAGAGGCAAGGATTTGGGACTGTTCATTTTTTATCAGCGTTTGGATGGTTGATAAAGAAAAACCGATGACACTCAAAGGGCATTTGTGTCTTTTCAAGTGCCACTTAATGGCTGGAAAACGGACTGGTTAACGGTAGGTACTAAATTGACATGTTTTGAAAGTTCGGGTACTAAATTGTCACGTTTTAATAGAGGTGTAAAGTGGGTCATACCGGGCCCATGGGCGGCCTGTGCAATTTGGGGGTTGGCCCGACACGGCCCACGGCCCAGGTCCATGCCGTGCCCGTGTCGTGCCGTGGGCCGAATCTTGGACCAAGTCGGGCCGTGCATCAGGCCAAAGCCATTTATTTAAAAAAAATTGACAAAAAACTTAAAATTTTAATTTTATATGAATTTTGTGTATACAATTGCTTATATATACAATAATTAAATAAATTAGTATAATAAAATTAAAAAAATTATTTATTTTATTAATATATTATATACTATATATTATTATATAATTATAATTTATATAATATATATAAATAATATATATGGTTCGTGTTGGGCCGTGTTGAGGGCCGGACTGGGCCGGGCTGCGGGCTGGGTCGTGCCGACCCACGGGCCACGGGCGGCACAGCCCACTCAGTCGTGCCATGATGTGCCGGCCTGTAGACCTAAAACCCCAAGCCCAGCATGGCCCACATGATCGTGTCAGACCTAGCACGGCCCACGGACCAAGTTCGTGCCGGGTTGTGCCGGGTCGCGAGCAGCACAGCCTGATTTACACCTCTACGTTTTAAGGTTCAGGACCAAAGTGGCACTAGGCCCAAAGTACAGGGTACTAATCGGGACTTTTCCCTAATAAAAAAGAATGACCAAGGCCCATCCAACCCAATATCTCTACAATTTTCTGATTCATAGTTGCCTTTTTTTTATCAATAACAGAACCATTTTCATTAATTGAGAAGGGGAAAAATGGGTACAAGAACAACAAGGGGAGAGATAAACTCTCTTAGCCCTCCCCAAAGAAAGAAACTATTACTAAACAGCCCAAAACAAACTATCCCTTCCCACCCCTTGTTTAGCAAGAGTGACTTCACCCAATGATAAGCAATCTCAAAACATTTCATTTTTCAAAAATATAGAACCACCATCCTTCCTCCTCTTCACCTTGGAGCCACTCAACCACAAGCTTCAAATCACCCTCAATGATAAGCTTCCTAATATTCTGCTCTCTAGCCCTTTGGACACCTTCCACCACCACCATAATCTCCGCTCTCAAAGAACCACCAATTCCAATCGGTCCAGAATAAATAGTAATGATCTTTCCTTCCTCATCTCTAAAGGCATCTCCAATTCCGAATGGACCCAGATTACCTTCATTGCTACCGTCAAAATTAAGCTTGACAAAACCTCAGGATGGGGGGGACCCTAAGAGGAGAAGAACCAACCACCTCCCTCCATTTTCTAATAAATCATCCGCAACAATATTCTTGAAGAGATCCAATGTCTTCACCCAATGGACAATTCTAATAAGAATGGCTTCAACAATAGTGTCTCTGCTTCTTACTTTGTCAAGAAAGACTCTAGGATTCCTTTCTTTCCAAATTGTCCAACAAACCGCTGCTCTCGTGCATTTCAATAATCTTCTACCCCTCCTCTTTGGCCAACTGAAGAAAGTAGAGGCGAACAAACTATGTACATTTGATGGAGGGTTCCACCTGCACCGAAACAAAGAAAGGGACCATTCCCAAATTGAAGAAGAAAGAAGGCAAGAGATTAGCAAGTGAAAGCAATGCTCACCATTAACCTTACAAAGAGAACACCAATTAGGTCTTTTCCTTTGCATTAATTCACAAGTATCAATTCTCTCTAAATAAACTTCCCAGCAAAAACAACCCACCCCATGCAGAATGGGTTTGCTCCAATCCTCCTTCACTAGAAAGAACAAACCTTCACTATCTCTTGGTTGTATAAGGGAAGGAAAAAAGAGGCACAAGAGAAAGAGCTGGAAGGGGACAAAGTCCATATCCTCTTATTCTTTCTTGAAACATCCAAGCATACCCCTTCAAGGTTTTGAAGCAAGCCAATAAAACTTGTAATTTCATACTCACGTACACCCCTTCTAAATCCCAAGTCCCAAACAACACCATAACTAGAAGTAGAAGGGACCACAAAAGAAGAAAGGGGTTCCTCCCTACGATTTGATAAGGCATAAAGTGAGGGGAAATGACTTTAAAAGTAAATTGCCCACCCAAACATGATCCCAAAGCTTTATCAAAGTTCCAGATCCAGGGCTATATCTAATAATGACAAAGGAAAGAAGGGAGGAAATCACAAATGGACTTCCAAGGAGAAGCTCTTCTAGCCATAACTGAAGTGCCAGAGTTCCATCCGTTAGCCGCAAGCCCATGTATAATGATCACCTTTGCCCATAACTTGTCTCTATCACGAGGGAATCTCCACAACCATTTTCCTAACAATGTCGTATTCCTCTCTTGTATACTTCTGAGACCTAATCCTCCATACTTCTTGCTTCTACACACCACTTCCCAACTCACTCTATGATCCTTCTTCTCCTCCCCAGGCTCCCATAAAAAATCCTTCATCATCTTCTCTAGCCTCCTATAAACCCCATCTGAAATCCTAAAAACGAACAGAAAAAACATTGGCAAATTGGCAAGTGTGGATTCAATCAAAGTGATTCTACCATCATGGGACAAATAATTGCTCTTCCACGAGGTCAATCTCTAAGTGAAGCGGTCAATTACAGGGTTCCAAAGGTTGCCACTCCTAGGATTATCCCCCGATGGTAACCCCAAATAAGGCATAGGCCATTAACCAACAAAACAACCGAGGACTCCTACAAATCCAGTAATCTCCCCATCCTCCATATTCAATCCCACAATGCAGCTCTTCTCAAAGTTAATTTTCATGTTGGACAATCTTTCATATAGTAACACAACCATCTTCAAATTTCTCACCCATCTAATGTCATCCTTTTCGCAAAAAAGGATGGTGTCATCAGCAAATTGTAGGTGAGTAATAGGAACCTCATCTCTTCCCACCCACCAACCCCTCATTAGTCTTCTAGAATCAGCCCTTTCTACGAGTCTCCCAAAGACATCTACAACCAAAGTAAAGAGAAACGGGGAGAGTGGGTCCCCTTGCCAAATCCCTCTGATGGTTGGGAAATGATCCACCATTGTTCCATTGACCAATATTGAATAATGACAAGTCCTAACACATCCCAATATCCATTTGCACCATCCATTGCCAAAGCCAAAACCTTTCATTACCTCCAACAAGAAGCCCCAATCAACTAAATCATATGCCTTTTCTAGATCCAACTTACAAACAAACCTTTCTTCCCAACCATCTTCATTTCCTCCACACTTTTATTGGCAATTAGAATTTGAGCAATTATTTGTCTATCCTTAACAAAGGCTCCTTGAGACTGTGAAATTATGGAAGGTAGCACTACCTTAATCCTTCAAGAAAGCACTTTAGCAATGATCTTGTACAGGCTATTTACCAAGTTGATTGGCCTAAAGTCCTTGGGGTGCAAGGCCTCCTCTTTCTTAGGAACCAGAGCAATGATAATAGAATTGAGGCTTGAATTTATCACCTCCCCTCTCAAAGAATTCATCAAACATCTTTGTAATGTCATGTTTTAAAAATTCCCAACAATCTTGGTAAAATGCCATAGTAAACCATCTGGACGAGGGGCCTTAGCTCTATCCATAGAGAAGATTCCTTAATTTCATCCATATCAAATCTTCTTTCCAACCACCCCTTTGACTCCTCCAACTTAGGCCAATCCAAATTATATCCTCCAAAGGCTTTCTAAAT